CTTCCTTCCTACCTATCACACTTCTTTCCTTCCTTCCTTTCTTCCTTCCTACCTATCACACTTCTTTCCTTCCTTCCTTCCTTTCTTCCTTCCTACCTATCACACTTCTTTCCTTCCTTCCTTCCTTCCTTCCTTCCTTTATTCCTTCCTTCCTTCCTTCCTTCCTTAACTGTTTCATTCATTCATTTGCTCACTTCTCCTTTTCCCTACCTTCTTCAAAAAGTTCTGTAGGGATAACATTTCTCCTGGTCACCGTTTCTTCTTCTGTTTTTCCCGAGTCTTTGCTTTCCTCAGGTTTTTGTACGCTCTCTTCCCTATCATCTGACTTGGATATTGGAGTTACTATGGTAGGAGCATCTGACGACGAGCCTGCTTCATTCGATCCTGAGCTGTCATCGTCTTCAGATTCGATTTTTTCACCCTCTTCTTTGGGTTGCTTCTCTACAGACTCGACATTGTTTTCAGAGGTCTAGGGAAGAGCGAAAAAAACTTAGAACAATGCTGTTTCTATCAACATTTTCCTGCACTATTTTCTATCATAATTTATTTATATTAATTTTATCAATGTATATTCTCATAATTTATTTAATTTTTGTTCCTCGTTTTGTACCTTCATTTTTTCTTTCAATTATTCCCATTTTCTTTCCCATTTTCTATCCCATTTCCTATCACATTTTCTTTCCCATTTCCTTTCCTATTTTCTCTTTCCCACCTGGTCTTTATCGTTCACCGTAGCGTCTTCTTTTCCCGAAGCTTCAGATTTTTCAGATGTGTCTTTATCCTCTGTTTTTGCGTTTGATTCTTGTTTCTCATCGTCTTTTCTTTCCTCATTATCTGAAGATATTTTACTTTCTTCTTTCACAGATTCTGGAGACTTACTCTCTTCATCCTCATCTAGTAATCAATGTAAGTTTCATTAAAACACAATTACCCTATTTCACTATGACGTCACAGGTCGCAGCTTGATTATAAGAGGGTCTTAATAAAATAGGTATGTTACTAAATAAAGAAACAATGACTGGTAATAGCCAGTGACACGTTGGCCAATTGTTTCCCAACATTTCTAATCACGTGGTTACTAGTTACCATGGTTACCTGGTATATCAGATCGACGAGTCTTGTCTCCGTCGAGTATGGCATCAACGATAGCGGATATTATCGTCCTGACTGAAAGAAAAACAAAAACCTAACTGTCCAACGTTATCCAAAAACTAGGAAACAAAAAAAATTAGCCAAAAAGTATAGAGATTTCAAGTAAAGAGCGCCAAGAATTCCCAGGGACCGCGGAGCGTAATTTTTGACTGGGGGTTATTCGGGGGCAGGCCTTGGCAGAGTAAGGGCGCAATCATCGGAGAACATCTCTAATTTCTCCGGCTGTACATAAGCTGCGAGCTCCAATTGAAAAGGTTTATCGACTTTGGAGACTTTGGAGGCTGAGGTCGCATCGAAAAAGTTTTAAACTGAGACCCTTGGAAGTGCGATTTCTAGTGTTTTGAGGGGCATTTCGGCAACATATTTATTGCAATAGCTATTGATATTTTAAATAGCAAACAAGTAATTCAAAATATTGCGGCTAAATTATTTCCAGATTTATAATAAAAAGTCTATAAATTCTTGTGGAGTTACCTTCTCTGTCTGCTTCTAGTTCGACACTCCGTTTCGTTCTCTTTCCTGGGACAAGAGAAAGTTTGGTAAGTAATATTGTTATTATTAGTTATTATTATTTATAAATATTAATCATTACCATCATAATTAGGTTATCATTGTCAAGGCAACGAGTGGGGTTTATACATGCTGCTTGCATCACATTATGTCCTCAACAGGTAAATTTTTTGTTTTCTGAATTTCCAGTTTTTTAAGGGTATGAATTATCTTAATGTAAAGAAAAAACATACCCAACCTAGAATTTGATTTGGGCTTCTAAATTCTGAATTATGAGAGTTTTTTTAATTTTGGAAAATCCGGAACCGAGCATAGCTGGACTGGACTGGACTTCGGTAAAGTGGATTGTCCGGATCGAAAAGCGTTTTTTAACCTGCCTACTAAGAATTTAATCTTGAATATCATGTGAGGGGTGTCTATACGGGTGGTTAATAGCGATGGGCGTGGTATATCACGTGCACACCTGATTTTATAGTAGGCGTAGAAAACAATGCAAACATGTATGGGTCAGTGATTTATGGGTCTCTTCGATTTAACGCATTTCATACCAGTGATGTACCCGTATTATTTCAATTTTTTTCGCGTGAGTCAATACACTTGCTTTGGACCATTGAACATGTTACATTGCTGATATATAAATCCCTTTTTCGGTTAGTAAAGCTGTGTTCTTCGATCACAGATTCGTTTACTCAGGGTTAGCCTCGAATCAGTGTCAAAATATTCACAAATACCAACAGTTAAAGTAAATATTGCACTACTTCAACATTAGAAACACTTGTTTGAGAGAACTCTGGTCAAGAAGATTTACTTGTTTGCTGACTAACTCCGATCTCCGTACTAATCTTAATTGAATTCTGAACAAAATATAAGTAATATATATAAATATAATATAACATAATACAAGCGTACACCATCAATTTATCATTATATATCATTATTAATCATCATCAACATCATCATCAGCATCACTATCACCACCATTATCATTATCATTCTCATCACCATCAACATCGCCATGAATCAAGGTTATCATCATCAACATAACCATCTTTTAGTTGGTGATTATTCCAACCCCTTTACATCTGCAATCATGTCCACTTTTACTTCTTGAAATACTCTTGGTAGCTTGCTTAATGATGCCTTTCTAATCATACGCACAAGTCATCCTCCTCTTCCTTCTCCTCCTCGTGGTCAAATCTAACGACATCGACGCTTCTTCAACACGAATAACAGCGCAATTACTCTTTTCTTGTGCGTGCAGTAACCTCTTCAACTTGAAACGCCCAAAACGTGAATACGCCACAACTGCATGTTCTGATGAAGACGCAAGCATCAATACCACGGCGCACGACATGACAAGAAACATTTCCACGCTACCATATCTGTCCAATATTCTCGCCATTTCTCATCTTAATTTCACCCGACTTTACTTGTTTTTAAATATGTGTCATAACAACATTGAAAGTCAATTTCACAACTTATGTCTTGTGTTCAAGGTGTTAACATTGGTGTTAGTATTTTTTAAAACAAGATGTTATAGTAATGAGCTATTTGGTTTTGCAATTTATCCAAATGAAGAAACGCACAAGAATAAAAAATGTATCTTGATTTATACGCGAAAAATGTTTTTGAGGAGTTTTACGGGTTGAATACTTGATTAGCTTGATTTTCAACGATTCGTTTGACGTCTTGATAGGTTTTAAGCTATAAGAATCATAAAATAAAACCCAGAGAAACGAAAAAATAAAGATAGAAAAAAATACCTGGATGAAATATTAGATATGTTATGAGAACAAATGGCTATGAGTGAGACAAACGTAACTCAATCGTAACCACTTGTTTTGTGACTCTGTCTGGGGTATTAAATAACTGTAAACCGTTCTTGATTTACTTACTTGATATTGGCGATGCCTGTGATAGGCAGATCAGCCAGAGGAAGAAAAATACCCTTGCTTTCATATCTTACATGAGAACGTGGTTTTAATCCAGTTGTAGGGATAAAATTTACGCTAAAATTCTCATGACCAGTTTCGGCCACCTCAGAATCTTTGATTCAGCTGAGGTCCTGTTTTGTGTTTGCCACCTGTGGCCTTAGGGGTTGTCCAAAAACAAATGATTCGCATGAAAATGACTTCATTCGCTGTAGACCTCAATCAACCAATCAGACGGCGCATTGCACCCAATAACCAAATAAGGTGCAAGGGCGCACGCTTGATTGATGTGCAGTTGACTGGCTTTTTGAAAATGTTTTATTGTCACTATAGGCCAAAAACCGTTTGATTTGTGTGTGATTTTTATCAAAGAGGGTAGTCAAACGTAATCTCAAAACAAACCAAACAAATAAAATCCAAAAAATCGTCAAAATTTTTAAAATATGACATTTTCGATTTGAAAATCTCTTGAGCAAATAATCATCATTGATTTTTAAAAAATTGAATTTTGAAGTTGAAACGACAAAGGTCAACTGTTCAAGCGTTATCCCGCGAGATCACGCTGGTACCCGCTCGCGTTCATACCACCTGTATCTTACAGGTTGTGCCATTATCTTATGATATGTTTTAAGTAGAACATGAATAACAGAAGTAGCATTAGTCATTAAGTAATTAAGACCACTTTGAATCAAGAATTGGTGCTTATGAACGCCCTCTGCGATTGAGAGCAGCCGCTCCTGTCTGTCGTATTTATCGTTGTGATTTTTGGGATTTAAAAAACTTGTTTCTTGTTTAAAAACACATTGCTATGGTCGAGCAACAATAAATTTATAAACAAGTCTTTTGCATGAGAGAATGTTAGCCGTATGCATTAATTAGTAGTGTAAACATCGATTTATCAACATGAGGCTGTTGGTAACACAGGTAACCCAAGCCGGGTACTCAGGTACTAGTGTAGTGCATTGGTAGTGTTCGTGAGTGAAACTTGACGTTTTTGTTTATTTTTTTGCTTGCATGTTTGTTTGTTACTAACGTAGCTGCAATGAGTGCATACTTACTACTTACCTATGTATCTTTTCCCCTACTTTACCTCGGTCTTCCTTCCTTCCTTCTTTCCTTCCTTCCTTCCTTCCTTCCTTCCTTCCTTCCTGCCCTCCCTCTTTCTTTCTTCTCTTTCACTCTTTCTAAAATCCCCCCCCCCCAATTTATTTAGAGTAACCCATTTTCATCGTTTTTGGTGCTAAATAAATCGTTTTCACAAACAATCATTTCGCGCCAAAACTCGAAACCACACGTTACCCACAATCCACCGTGAAATAAGAACTCGATAATCCCTGGGAACGAGTTTTCTTTAACTCATACCCAGTCTACCCGAGCATCAGTTTTTCGTTCCCTATATCCTTTACGAGACGTTTGCAAACCATTGTTTAACCGTCACTGGTGACCATATTGTTCAAATCTACATTCCGTACCAGGTCCCACGCTTCAATGAACATTACAAGGAACACGAAAAAGATCTTCCTACAATTTTGACTAATTTACATACGATTTTTGATAATATTTGTATCAATTTTTTTACCCTGTGTTTTAAAATACAAAAGCGTACCATTTTAAAACGTCGTTGACAAACACCTGTGGTCATCGTTGGAAGAAAAAGCGTTGGATTGTAACTGGAATATTTGATTTTTGACTTCGTCGTGTTTCAACCAAGGGTAAGCTGTAAAAGAAAACCATCCGTTTTTTAATTATTGTTCTACTTTGAAAACTTCAACGTTTCACTTGACTTTTCAGTCATGTTTGATTGAAATTATTGTGACTTGACGCTTAGATTTAATTTCTGTGTGGTTTTTTTTTAAGTCCTTGATGGTGAAATCCTCGATAAATACCGGTCAGTTGGCGGGTTATGTATTCAAGTGCAAATGTGTTTTAGTCTTGCCATTGTATGATCACCAGTTATCGAATCTGATGTTTCACATGAAAACACTACTTGTAAACGTATAATAATACCGAATAATGTTTAATATACTTAACGAAATAATTCTTGGATTGCAACCACGTGACTGAAAAATACCTAGAGATATAATTAAAGAACAATGAAACAGCTAACAGCCATCTTGGTTGATCTAACGACGTAACATTCACCCCAAGAATCGGGTACCGAGAATAATTGGGCATCTTATACTGACGTACGTATTTTTGCAATTGTTTCTCTAAGGCCCCGTCCACACGTATCCGCAAATTTTCGTATTTTTGTAAAAAATTAGCGTGCATCAGGGCGGATCAAGAAATTTCCGGATACGTGTCGACAGTGAAAACGATTCGAAAACGATTCGAATACGCTGCGTGTGGACGCGAACATTTTCGTATCCGCAAAAAAAAATTTGCGGAAACACAAATTTCCGGATACGTGTGGACGGGGCCTAAGTGAATTGACCAAACACTACATCAAAAACTATTACTGATAATTCTAGTTATTTCTACTCAATTGGCTTTCGTTTACTGCTTTGAATCATAATGATCYTCTTTTACACTGAGTTACAAGTTCATTATGAATTTTGACCAACTTTCACTCACAGACACTACCATTACATTCAATTTTTTTAATGCGTCGACTCACATGTTGGTTAGAGAACCTGTAGAAAAACCCCTTAATTTAGGGTCGAGAGAGCAACAAATCAAACACCATATTTATTCGTATTGGTAGAATTGATGCAAGGACTATACTATAACATCCCTGGCGCTTTTGAATATTCCCGTTGAGTTCTCTGTTGCTCAGGGTTAGCCCCGATTTTGCAATTGCACAGCATAATTATGGTTGTGACACCCGGGTAATTCACTTCAGTTACGTAATCATCTTTCAATTTCTTGATTTTGCAAGACGTTGAAAAATTGTCAGATGATCTTAATATTAATATCCTATCTTTGGGGAGACTACCAAATATGGAGACGTACCCGAAAGCATATTAAGATACTAATGCTTTACTTGACATGCAGTAACGTCGCAGCCGCCATGTTGGTTCTTTTTCTCATGTCATTCAAGATGGCGCACATATCTTTTGTCCAGGATTTATTTTATTCTCTTTGGGCATTGAGTGATGTACACCACGTATTAAATGATGAATGTCTCGGCATTTTTATTAAAATTTCTTTTAAATATGTTTGTAGTTTGGTAGTGTTTCACCATGAAGCGATGGATGGTGGTTTTAGCTCTTGTCTTAGTCCTACATAACTCTTCTGCAGGTAAGGATAACATGCGTTTAATCGTAGACCTGGTAAAAGGCGGGGATACTCGTCGTACCTTTTAGGATTCCAGATCCAGGGGGAGGGGGGTGTTAAGAATTATTCTGAACATTTCAAATTTTCACCTGCCCCCCCTCCTCCCCTCTGCCATACATTATGAACGCAGCCTTAGGGTGTCACAAATCTAAAATGACCACCAGAAACTAAGCCGGTACCTCTTGGGGTGTTTTCGAGGCAATAAGATACCTAGAGCATATTCGATAAAACAAAAGTGTTAATTATTTTATTACCCTACAGATACCGACATGAAAAATACGAATGACGTCACTCAAGAAGCCGAGCATACACTTAAAGATGACATCGCTGGTCAGGAACAAGAAGCCAGTGGGTCTGCGGGCTCAGGTATTGGAGCAGCCGTCCAGGAAGGTGATGGTCCTAATAATTGCGCTAAAAGTCCATGTAAGAACAGTGGAACGTGCATTAATGATTATAATAGGATTGATGGATATCGATGCCAATGTCAAGATGACTTTGGGGGCATAAACTGTGAAGGTGAGTGTTAGAGAGCATTTATACCAGCTAAGACCTAATAATAATAATAAGCTAGACCAGAATGCATTTCGGGAGGTTATCCATATCTGGACGTCAAACCAGTGCTTATCCAGCATGGGTAAAATATTTTGTCCCTTATGCCTTATAGTGGCGACATTTGTAGCCAAGCTAGACCATATTGCAACAGGTTTGACCCTGAATTCCGGGGTAGTAAAGAAGCATGATGCATTCTGGTCTCGATAAGGTGGGGAAAAAATCCTTATGGTGTTGCTTGTACCCAAGCTAGAACAGAATGCACTTTGTTTGGCTTTTATTAGGATATCTTACGTGTATGATGCATTCCGGTTTCGATTTGGCACATAAATTATTTGTTCCGTATGTTGTGCACCCCAGCTAGACCAGAATGCACCTCGTTGTCTGACTCTTAAAATCTCACAAAGACACCTATTTTGTGTTTCAGAGTTGAAATGCCGCATCAGTTTGGCGTCTTACGCATCAAAGATTTGTCTCGTCAGACGAGAAATTGGACGAAAAGCGAAGAAGATGCTAATCAAGCTGACGTCATCTAGAAAAGAAGACTTTCTAAAGTAGGTACCAATCCTTTCTCTTGAAACCCAGACCTCGTCTCTCTGTGATCATCGGGGCCCTCTTTACTTAGGGAGTTACGGTTGGAGTAGCGATGAGAGCACTCGTCTCTCACCAGTGCGATCATTAGGGACTTTAAGATTTGCAAAATCTACGAGGACGACGTCCACCTGAAGTGTAAATAACTCCTCTTTGGGGTTCTGTTCATTAGAGATTTCATTCGAAACATTGTCAGTAAGGTCAACTCGTCCACAGGAAACACAGAAGAAAAAGACTTCCGGTTGACGTCGCCGGCGTAGATTTTGCAAATCTTAAAGTCCCTAATTATTGTTCGATACCGTACTCATACAATACACCAGTTTCTTATTCGATACGTACCGCTGTTTTTGACTCATTTGACTCATTCGCACAGGCATAACATCGTTCAGTAGATGTGCTTAAAATCGAAAAGCGTAACAGTTTATAAAAAGATACTCGATAGCTGTGCAGTCTAGAAGTTTTCCAGCTGTTTCCCCCTCGGCATCCCATAATTTAAACGATAGAATTCAAGATGGCCGCCGTATAAATGTCTATAATTTTTTATTCATTTCGCCCCCCAGCAATTCAGACATGCACGTGCCTCTTCTTCTCAAGAAGGGAGCAGCGAGTTTTGTTCAAAGTGCCTCCACTGATCCCTTCACCATCGAATGGTACATGAAGATGACTGATAATGCTGACCTGAACAAAGATATCGAGTCTCATTTCACTCTGAAGGACTCGAGGTTCCATACAACACCAACATTGTTGGACTTTGCTATTGTGTATGAGGCCTTCTATAAACACCACAAGGTAAACTATCTGTCTGTCTGTCTGTCTGTCTGTCCGTCTGTCTGTCTGTCTGTCTGTCCGTCTGTCTGTCTGTCTGTCTGTCTGTTCCCAATCTATCTGTTGGTCTGTTTGTTCGTCCGTTCATCTGCTTGTCTGACTGTTCTCCCATCTATCTGTCTGTCGGTCTGTCTGTTTATCTGTCTATATGTCTGTTTGTATGGTCGTCTGCGCGTCTCTCTGTCTGTCTGTCTGTCTTTCTATCTGTCCGTCTTTCTGCCTGTCTTATTTTCTATATCTAAATATTTTTTCTTCAGAAACGAAGCGCCATGAGTGCTCTCAAGCGTGTACCAGCAATTGAGGACAACTTCTTTAAAGACCGCTGTTTTGCTGACCAGCGGTTAGCTGGTGCAAATCCTTTCCAAATATGGAAAGTAACGAGAGAAGCTGGTGAGTTGGAAAACTTGAATGTGGAAATATTTTTGTCACGAAAGGAACATACTTTAAAATAAAAGTCGTTGCGTGACACGTAACGCAGTATTTTAATTTCTGTTTTTAGGGAACGAGGGCGTTAGTTGGGAAAGACTTTACGAAACTTATTTAAACAAAGATTTTGACTGGCACAAAGCGTTTCGTAAAGTATTAAACACAGACGACAACGACGCACTGGACAAGGTATGTTTATCGACAAGAAACCCAATTCGTAAAGAAATAATACTCCAGGGTCTGATATTATATTATGTATATATGTCGCAAATGGCCAAAAATGACTTATTTAGCATCTTTCATAAATAACTCATATCTTTACAAAAGGTGTGAGAATGGTCCAAAATCGACGCAAACCATTGGCCGTAGTCCATGCTTTTAGTCCAAAAATGGTTAAAGAAACACAAAATACTCAAACTAGGGATGACATATTTAACTTCTTTTTTTCTAGGCGATTGACAAAGCCGAAGTTTTAGTCGTCTATTACCCTGAACTGGAAGGCATTGAACCACCTCAGCTAAACGACGTCAAGTTCAACCACACTGTATTACCGCTGACCGCTCCTATCGCTTTCTTCATAACCAAAGAGTATGAGCCCGGAGTACGGCGGCTAAGTCCAGTGGCAATCCAGCTAAATATGGACAACACGTCTTCTGTTTTCACGCCAGATGATGAGAAGTCGTGGTTCTTTGCCAAGTCAGCTGTACAAAGAGCTGATTTTAATGTACTCCATATTGTGAAGAAGAGGCTTAAGACACATCTTTATATGGATGCTCCGTGTACTCTTGTAGAAAAATACTTCTCTGAATATCACCCTCTACATCAGATATTACGTCATCATTGCCGAGCAAGCCTGGAAACTAATAAATTATTCGAATTGAAGCTGTATGGTAAGTTATGCTACCTTATTTGGTCATATGCTACCTTTTTTGGTCATATGCTACCTTTTTTGGTCATATACAGGTAGCCCACGTTGAGTCAAACAGCTTTTTGTTGAGGTGTGGTCATCATCATCATCATAATCATCATCGAATGTTTTTTTCAGGGCCAAAAGCACCGATATACAAAGCATTAAGTATTGACTACAAAACAGCAGTTAAAATGTTGAATGAACAGTACAACAAGATGGACTTTGATGACATTGATTTGTTAAAGGATCT